ACAGCGTCCTGGCCCAGAGCCCAGCCACTGCCCTTGATGAGGCCACTCTGCGTCAGAGACCCTCAGCCCTGCCCAGCCTCCTCCCTCTCCGCATCTGAGGATACAGAGGCTCAGATAGGCAGCAGAGCATCAGCCCTGGGAGGGATGTCACCAGCCCTGGCCCCATTACCTCTCATTGTAATTCAACAAGGGAGCCATGGCTGCAGCACATCCCCCCCCCCCCAGCAGCTGGACAGCATGGGAAGGGAGGCTGCCCCTTGGGAGGGTTGGCCAGGAGGTGGGAAGCCCTGTGCTCCCGTCTACACAGCCCAGGCCCCCTCTGCCAGTGTGTGGCTTGGCATCTGTCCCTTCCTCCTTGAATCTTGTTTCCTGGACAACAGCATTGATATAGTTCTGCCTCTCGAGGCACAGGGCCTTTGCACTTGCTGCTGTCCCTGCCTGGAAAGTGCTTCCTGGGCCATGATCTCCCCAGACAGCCCCTCACCTCTTTTGGACACTGCTCAGATGTCTCCTCTCCCTGTCACTGTCCTGTCTGTCACCTGCTGATTTCTCTGCAGCATTTGTCACCTGTAATTCTCTTCTTCACTCGCCAGTGGCCCATCTGGCGCCTGCCAAGGCACTGGAAGCTAAGCTCCAGGGAGAAAGGGAGTTTAGCCACCCATGCTGGTGTCCCTAGATGCCCCTCGGGGCCCTGCACATGGTAGGTCCTCTGTGAGCATGCGTTCAGTAAGCGGTCTCTACACTGCTTCCTCCCTTTGATCCACAGTGCTAAGGCCATTGTACAGATGAGCAAAATGAGGGCAGGTGAGAGGGACACACCTCGCTGGGGGCAGCCCTGGCCTGAGGCACTCACTAGGTGGACAGCCGGAGTGATCACCTGGCCCACACAGCTGCCTGGGCTCCAATCCGCTCCATCGTTCCCTGCCAGGGGGAACCTGGGCTTCGTGGCTACACATTTCCAGCCCTGGGGTTCTGTGCCACTGACACCAACAGTCACGCTCATCTCCAGAGCAGGCGGGTGAGTCCCGAGCAGGGGCCAAGGCCCACATGGCCACTCAGTGCTGGACGCAGTGTGCTGTAAATGTGTTGAATTAGAAGGTAAAGGGAAAATTGTCCTCATTTCATAAAGGGAAACTGAGGCATGGGGTGATAAAGGGAATGAGAAGGTGGAACCAAGGAGCAGGCCCAAGGCTGCCGAGCTTCAGAGTCTCCCCGGTGCCACAGAGGTGACACAGGCCTTGGGGCTGCCACGCCTCAGACCCCTCCCCGGGGAGGGGCAGGCCCTGCAGACTCTGCCCAGCTGCTGCATCCCGTCGGGGCTGGTGGCTGTCCAGGAGCTGCTCGAGCCTGGAGCAGGGAAGCTCGGGAAGCTGGGACGTGGCCACGAGCCACAGGGCGTGGCTCAGTCGTGGCCACACGGCCCCACTTCCCCCCACCCCAGAGTGGACTTGCATCAGAGCAGCAGGGAGGGGCGGTCAGCAAGACCTCAGCAGAGCTGGCACTTGCGGGGGGTCCTAAGCCAGAGCTGCTGCTTACAGAGCAGGACGGATGCTGGGCACCCCTCTGTGCTTCTCCATATGTTAATTAACTCAACCTTCTGGAAAGACGTGAAAAACTTGATCATCATCCAAGCCCTGGATCCTGCCATGCCTGAAGCAAGACCATCCCTGGAATTTTTTTTTTTCTTTTTTAAATGTGACCCAATAAAATCTCTTTTGCTTAACCAGTTCGAGTCAGGTTTTTGTCCCCTGCCACCGAGAGAGCCCTGACTAATCCACCTGCCTTCCGGACATTGTCTACGCTTCTATCTCCCTATCATTACGGTAGCTGGAGCGACGCATCCATGAAATGTTTTATGCTTGTCGCTGACTCACTGGACCTCTTCTCTGTTCTTCGCATCTGGAGGCCCGGGCCTGCCTCGTTCCCACGTACCCCGGCTGTGACAGTGAAGGAGGATATGTGTACCCCTGTTCCAGACAGGTGCCCCGGGTTACATGGCCATCTCATCCAGCCAGCAAGGAGGGGGGCGCGCAAACGGGGTTCAGAGGGGCTCAGCAGCTCCACAGCGGCAGTCCACTCCCGGGATCCCAGAGCAGCATCCCCTGGGCCAAGGCCCTTGACCCCGCATGGGAATCCAGGGTTCCCTCAGGTTAGAATACCTGTTCCACACACACGCACAGCCACAGCTGACGCTCAGATAGGGTTGTAGCTACGTGAGGATGCAGGGGCTCTGTAGGCATCGAGTCTGTGTGCACACAGGGTGTGTGTGTACGTGTGTCTGCTGCCTGTGCAGGATCTACACGCATGCAGAATAATCCAGCCCACGCCACAGGAATCTGATGGAACCTGGGCTGGGTCAGGTCTCCCATGGCTCCCATCTCAGCTAAAGCCCAAGCCCTTGGCGGAACGGGAGATCTTGCAGGACGTCTTCTCTCCTGCCCACCTACCTCCCTCCCTTACTTCCCGGCTCCCATGGCCCTGGCTTTGTCTGTCAATCAGGCAGGTCGTCCCCAGGGCCTTTGCATGTGCAGCCCCTGCTCTGCCCCAGGACTCGCTACTTGGATCTCAGATAAACTGTGGGCAGCACACACAGCCCTTCCAGACCACCCTGTGTCAATGTGGCCCCTACCTGCTTCAGCTTCCTACTCTACTCTCAGGTCCCCAAGATCCCCCAGGTGACATCTGGGGCAGTCCCAGGTGCAGGAGCACTGAGCATCGCTGCCCAGCTCCACCTGGTGCCCGGCACACAGTAGGTGCTCAGGCAATGGCTGACACAGGTAGGACCACCCCGGGCAGGACGCAGTGCACCTTGAGTCTGCTCAGCCCACCAGGGTCCCCTGCCACCCACACAGCTCTATCCCAGGCCCTGCCTGCCTCCGAGGTCCTGACTTCTCTGCAGATCCGGCTCACGGGGCTGGTCAGCGGGGGTCAGGCCAGCTGCCCCTCCCTCTCACCTCACGGGGCTTCTTGCATGGCATAAGGGGCCTGAGCCTGCACAGCCCCGGCCCTGCACACACGCAGGATTCCGGAACCTTCCCGGCAGCGGACGCTGCTGTGACGGGGTGGCTCATCCCCTGGTTTCCTTCTCCTTTGTGGCTGGAAGTTACCAGCAGGGCTCTTTTCTGTTTGTCGTTTATTTTTAAAGACCCACAAAGGGAAGTACACAGTGCCCCTCTTCCCGCCCTCTTCCCGGAGGTTCAGATCCTGGGGAAGGTGCAGTCCCCCCACCCCCACGGCAGTCAGTGTCCCTGAGCCTGGGGCTGACTGATCTGGGCTCTGGCGAGGGCCGGAGTTTCACTGGGACCTAAGTCATGCACCACAAAGTCACCTCGTGTGTGCGGTTCTGTGGGTTGTAATTCAGTGTCACAGAGACACGTGCCGATGCCCTGCAATGCTTGGGTCACTGTCGTCAGCCCTATGAGCAGCCGATTCCACCCTGCTCCCGGCCCGGCCACCCCTGTGCCACCCGCTGGCTCTGTGGCTTTGTCCCTTCTGACTGAGGCAGAAATGGAGCCGTGTGGGATGTGCACTCTGCTCGGGCTTCTCAGGGTTTGTATCTGTATGTGGCCGAGCAATGTCCCACTGTGTGGACGGACAGACCGCATCTCACTCAGGGACACGCAGGTGGAGCCCTGTGCAGGCCGTGTGAGTAAGGCCGCCGTGAGCACCCGAGTACCAGGCGGTGTGTGCTCCCGGGGTGCAGGCCTGGGGCTGGGGCCGTGGGGTCACAGGGTGCCCCATGCCTGACCGGGTGGGAACTGTCGGGCTGTTTCCAAGTGGCTTCGCCATTCCCAGGCCCCCAGGTGTGCGGTGGCCTCCACCCTTGCCCTCACTTTTGGGGCCTCCAATGTGAGCACAGCCGTCCTCAGGCATGGCAGGTGGCCCGTGCTGACCCGTAAAAGCCCGAAGCAGCTAAAACCCAGAGTTCAAGGTGCAGCCAGGGTCTCCGCGCACCGTGAGGCCAGCGGCTCCCTAGCACTATGGGACCGAGCTCAAGGCAGCCAGGTCGTGACCGTCCTGTCATCCAGCACCTCCCTGTCGAAGGACCCTGAGGTCCACGGCCCCCCTAAAGTCTGTGAATCCGGGACTCTGTCCTCGGCCTCTCTGGAGGCCAACATGTGCCACAGGTCAAGGAGCGGAACCAGGAATCCCTTTTAGTACCCATGTGCCACCTCCTTGCCTCTCCACTGTGACCCTGGGCAGGCCCATTGTCCCCGAGTCCAGACGAGGAAATGGGGGACAGCGAGGACAGGTGCTGCCCTAAGTCACACACTGCCAAGGACCAGGCTGGGGTCAGGGATGGGATTCAGGGTCAGCGGCTACACGGGAGCTGTGAGGTCACGTGTCCTCGTCCACCCTCTGAGTGGGGCTCAGAGTAAGCTCTTTCTTCAAACATTACATGGGATCCGAGAAGTCCAGAATGGCCCTGCTCTCCCTACCCCAGGGCCGTGCATGGTTCTGCTAATTACTGGCACCAACGGGCCTCCATTTCAAACGATCAAATCCCAGATAGATAGATTGATTGATTATTGGTTGATATTGATTGACTGCACTCACTAAACTGTGATCCTGGCGGGGCAGGGACCCGTTTGTTCACGTCCCTTCCACCTGTAAAAAGCACCTGTCCACGGTGTCTACGGCAGGGGGATCTGCTGGTCGAAGCAATGAACTGGGATTCTTAAACCCTTCCCGAGCTCCTCCTTCGTAACTTCTCACCTCCCAAAGTGCTTGGCTAAGTGTCCAGCATCACTGACTTTCTACCCCCAACCGCCGAGGTTCACACCGGGGCTCCTCTCCCAGCCAGTTCCGGGCTTTGCTGTCCTCATGTGGCCTCTGCACGGGGCCTTCCTGGAAGTGATCACACGTGCAGCAGGCATGGCAGGGTCGGGGTTGGCAGCTGTCGCCAAGGTTCTTGTTTCCATCGGAAAACGAGGGCAGGGGTTTTGGGGACAGAGGTGAATGAGATGCTATCTCAGGGTGACTCAGGAACGCGTCATGGAGAGGTCGCCAGAAAGGTCATGATGTCCCCTAAAAGATGACAAGTCACCCGCAGCCCAACAAACGTGAGGGGAAGTAGGTGAATCACGGTCAGCGCGAGCTGGAAACGTCCACGGCGGCGTTGCTCAACCTGTGTGGGGACCGCAGGGCCTTCGGGTACCTGCGAGCCCAGGGACGCTGGGGGTGGTGTGGGCCTCACGCTGGAGGGTCCCCAGGCCCGGTGCTCTGTGGGAGGTGCGGCAGCGGCGCCAGTTTGCCTGGAGGAGGAACCCGAGGCCCCCCACAGCGGAGTCGCAGGGCACAAGCTTCTCCTGGTGGCGTCTTTTCTTGCTTGGGTGTCAGCCTTGGTTTCCAGCAGGTCTCACAGCCGAGGCCTCCAGTCCGGTGGGCACCCAGGATGTGACCAGGACACGGGCCTCCAGCCTTCCTGGCAGCGGGGTGAGGGTCCTGTGTGTGACCGAGAGGCGGCTGTGGGACAGCAAGGGCAATTTAGGAGCAACATCTTAGCTACAGGCTTGCCAGCGTGATCCAGTGCTCTCCACACTCAGCCTAAAACGGCTTTAAATAAAGAATCTTGTTATCTCAGGGACTGGTTAATGGCACCGCTCAGAGGCGCCCGTGAGGACCCAGGTCTGGGCTTGGGCTTTATTCCCTGGCTGGTTCTCCTCATTGACTCACTGTGGCTGTTACTGCTCCAGACTTCACAACCCCTCCCCAATAACACCAGAATGATAAAAGCCAATATATATATTTTTAATCTAAGAAGTGTCTTGTAGTGTGGTTAACTACAGGCATGAAGTTGCACAGCAGACTCCTAGAATGTAATCAACCTCCATGACTGAAACTTCATACCCATGAAATAGCAGCTCCCTATGGCCTCCTCTCCCCAGGTCCTGGCAGCCAACAGCCCGCATTCCCCCTACTGGAATCATAGCATTGTCCTTCTGTGACTTGCTATGTCACTGAGCACAATGGCCCAGCAGTCTCCCCAGGGATATTTATCCAGAGTCTCGGGACACATTGGCCACTTCAGGTCCACAGCCGCTCTACTGATACCAGCCAAGGGGCAGAGACGGCCCATGTGTTCATCCGAGGACAAACAGGACATGGATGTGGGCTTCAGTCAGGAGTGCCGGTGCGCACCTATAATGTCAGCAGCCTGGGAGGCTGAGGCAGGAGAACCACAGGCTCAAGCCCAGCCCAAGCAATTTAGAGGCTTAGTAGGACCTCAGCTCACAGTGAAATAAAAAGGGGCAGGGGTACAGCTGGCTGTGAAGGCCCTGGGTGCAATCGCCAGGACCCACACACCCACACCCACACCCACACCCAGTGAACAGCTCTGATCTGCACAGAGACCTGGGGATTCCTGCGAGACGTTCTGTCAGGGATGCCAAGGGTCTTGTTCCACCCAGGAGGTCATTTGCTGTCCCTGAAGTGGGGTGCCAGGCCCCAGTATCAAGGAATATCCAGAAATAGCAGGGAAGCCTGTGGGTCCATTGCAGGAAGGCAGGGAAACTGAGTCACCAGTCCCTCCCAAGAGCTCCTGCATGAGCCCCCGAGGCTGATGCTGGAGGCTGGGGTCCAGGCCTGATGGCTGAGCAGACCAGGAAGCTGGGCAGAACTGCAGGAAGGGAGGGGATCCCATATCCACCGGGAGCCTGGCGCCTTTTAAGCCCGAGTCGCTGAGGACACACTGCATGACCCCCACCTGCAGGATGCTGTCCCCAACACAACTCTCCAAGGTCCTACTTTCGTGCCCAGGCACCAGGACCGCAGTGAGGACACACTCAGTGATGTGTCATGCAACGGATGCCGGATGCTGCTGTTACGAGGCTGGCTGGTGCTGCAGCCCTGGGGAACACGCGACCTCAATCCCACTTGGCAGCGAATGAGGAAATGGGCTCAGAGAGCCGAAGCGATTCCCCAAGGCCACACAGCTGTTCAGCGGCAGAGGCAGAATTCGAACCCAAGTCCTCAGCCTCAGAGTCTTGGTTGCTGTCTGGACTCCAAGATCCCTGTCTTCAGCACAGGCCCCACCAGGACCTGGGGACAGGAAGGGACTTGGGGAGACGCAGGGGGCCAAGGAGGCAGAGCAGTGTCCACTCTCACTAGGACTCGGTCCCAGACTCCCAGCCCAGAAGCTTCCCCCCACCTGCCTCAGGTGCCTGCTCTGCAGAACGCGGAGCCGAGGCTCTGGTCCCACGCGAGGCACCCTGCCACCCCACAGTGGCCCCGCGCCAGGGGCGCTCACCGGCAGCCCTGCCTCACCTGCAGCTGAGGCCTGGCCACGAAACCCTGCCAGCCCAGCGCGCCCGCTGTGGCAGCATCTCAGCCGCGACCGGGCACAGGCGAGGCCCATGGTGCAGGTGACCAGCAGCTCCCAGGCGGACACCGCAGGCGGTTAGAGCTGGCGATGAGGGGTGGACGCCAAGCTGCAGCCCAGCTCGGACTCGCAGCCACGGAAGTGCGCATGCGTGGGCACGAGAGCTGGAAGCCATGGTGTGAGCCAGCATGGACCAGAGCGCATGCGCACGCATGCACGCACGCACGCACGCACGCACGCTGGCATGCACGCGCCCCCCCCACACACACACACACACACACCCTCGGGAGCCTGAGCTGCGCTTGCTTAGCCAGGATGGTGGAGCACGGTGCCACCTGCCTCACCCTCCCCCGGGCATCCACACAAAGGGCTGTTGTCAGCCCGTGGGGCACCTCTGGACGGGCTGCGCTGGCGGGGGTGCAGCCCACGGGGCGGAAGCTGCCTACCCGTCTGCCCACCCAGGACCCCAGCTCCCCCTGCAGATCTCGGGGGCGCAGCTCCCTAGCCACCTTCCCTGCCCCACTCCGGGACTGGTAGCACTCCAGGGGCCGCAGTCAGGGCTCCAGGGGACAGGACTGCTGTTCGGAAAGGCTGGCGCTGTGTGAGTTTGGTGAAGTGGCGTTCCCTGTCTGAGCCTTGGTCTCCTTGTCGTCCTGTCGCAAAGTGACGGCAGCTGCCTGCCAGGGGGCGGCACAATGGCCCGGGTCAGAGCACACACAGCACCAAAGCAGTGGGCACAGCCGGAACCCGGCAGGCACTGGGCCTGCTGGCTTTGGACTGGGGTGGTCACTGGCCCGCCTCTGGATCTGTAGAACGCTCATACACGGGAGGGGCCCAGCACACAGCTGGCGCTCGGTGATGGCACTCACCTGCTAGGCTTGTTTCCTCCTTTACCCCTTCCATTCTTTCTCTGCCCATACCGTCCTTGCACCCACCATGTGCCACACGACTTGTGGCAGCTGACCCTGGAGAGGTCCTTTCTGAAGAAATATTTGTTGATTGAATAACAGAAGACAGTCAGAGGCCATTGTCATTTCCAAGGAGCTCCAGGACCCTCGCAAGAGAGGTTGGAGACCCTGGGCCAACCCCTCGGAGACCGTGCTGTCTGGCTTCTTCGTCTGCCGTCTCGGGTGGCCCCTGTGCAGGCAGCTGTGGTCCCCTCTGGCCCAGCCCTGGGAGCTGAGTGGGGTGCGAAGTCTGTACTGCCTGGCCTGTCCAGTTGGTGTCAGGCTCCTGCTGCGGGGTCTCGGCCTTGGATCCTGCCTGGGCGCCCTGAGCACTGTCCAGTGAGCTCGGTACCCCCACCCAGAGCCAGGTGTCTCTAGAGCAACTAAAAACTGCTCCTGACTGAGAACCCCTAGGCTGCGGCCAGGACGTGGATCCACCTGGCTTCCCGCTCTCTGCCCAGTGCATACAGTCAGCACTGATCGGTGACTTGTAGAGTGAATATTGAATAGATGAGTCTCCCTGATGCGCGCTATTCCTCTTTCCTGGAATTCCTTTTTATTCCTTTTTAGCTGGCAAACTCCTATTCATACTTCAAGACCCTGGCAGGCAACTTGTATGAAGAAAATGAACCAAGCAAGGACTGGTAAGCAGGAGAGTGACTGCTACAGGCTGCTCTGATCTGGGACCCCTTTCCAGCTCCCTGCGGTGGGCCAGATCTTCCTGTGTGCCAAGAGGATCCAGAGAAATGGGTTTTAGGTAGAACAGCCTCATGTTTGAAATATCAGCCCCTGACTCAGTTCTTAAAAATACTTCGAGGGCCACAGCAAACCCATCTCCAGAGGGGACTTAGCCTGGGGCAGCTCCTCCAGGTCTGCTCCGGGTCTCAAAGATACGGTCACCAGTGTCTCACCTGGGCCCTGCTTTGCAGTTTGCACGGAGGCAGCTCTGAAGCGGGTGGCAGGCAGGGCAGCAGGGCGGGCGCACAAGAAACGGGCCCAGCCCGGGCCTGCAGGTGGGGGGGTATCATCCTGGGCACAGAGGGGGTTTGGGAAGAGCCAGGGTTCTCCTGGGTTGTTCATGCCAGACTCCTTGGCTTCTCTGAGAAGTGTGAACAGGGAAACTGAGGCAGGCAGGGCTGAACCTCCCTGAGGTCGTGGGCAGGCCTGCAGGGAGCCCGGGACTGACTCCTCCCAAAGGCCGCCTTCCCAGGACCTGGCTGGGAGCCTGGTCTCAGACCCCTCCCCTGCCCAGCAACTCCTCAAACACCTCCCTTTCTGACAGAACTTTCCAGAAGCAGAGCATGGAGAAAGCTCCTCTCCAGTGCTCAGGCCTTTCCTGTTCTGGGAGGCGATGGGGCCGGGGAGACCCAGGTCTCCAGCCTCAAAGCCACAGCCCCTCTTGAGGGCTGAGGTTCCCCCAGCCACGCCTCTCAGACAGACTCCAGGTCACCAGGGCCACAGCCCAGCCACCGGGAGCCCACAGACTGGTGCAAAGCTGTGGCCCAAAGGTCTTCCCACCTGGGTCTGCACCTGTCACAAGCAGCCTTCCAGCCGGGCGTGGTGGCACACATCTGTCTTCCCAGCACTCTGGGAGGCTGAGGCAGGAGGATCTCAAGTTTGAGGCCAGCCTGAGCAACTTAGCAACTTAACAAGATTCTGTCTCAAAATAGAACATAAACATAAAAACCAGGTTGAGGAATGTAGCTCAGTGTGAGAGTTTAATCTCCAGTACTCCACACCCCGCAAATGCAGGCTTCCACGGAAGGAGATCTGCAGGCATTCGGTGCACAGCTGGTGCCAGTCTGTACACAAGTCCTCCGCCCCACGCTGAACTGTCGACACCCTCTCCCTTCCTTGCTTGCACACAGACCCACACTTACTCAACAAACTTGCATGAGCTCCTACTGTGTCGATGTCTGAAGACTTTATGAAGAACTGCACTCTATGGTTCTGGAGTTTGTAGAATGGAGGGTGGGAGCCCCAGAGTATAATGTCTTGTAGGAGTAAGCGTTGTGCAGAGAACTCAGATAAAAGACAAGGGGCCCTGGGGAGCAAGGGAGACGGGAAATCAGAGCAGGCCCAGGCTTCTGGAAGAAGGATGAGTTAGGCAGAGGGAGCAGCTAGTGCAAAGGCCCTGGGGCCAGTAGTATCTAGCACATTGGAGGAACAGAAGCCCTGGGTGGGGGGAATGAGGCAGGCTGGAAGGTGACGAGGTGGCAATAGGAGCTGAGGACTGACTGGAGGGCCTGGCCAGCCTCGGAGGGAACTTGGGTTTTTGCACCAAGTGACCTGGCAGCCATGGGAGGGTTTTAGCAAAGAAAGGTCATGACCACTTTCTGTTGTTATCCCCGTCTTAAAAGGTGAGAAATTGAGGCACAGAGAGGCAAAGTCACTCTCCCATCATCACACAGACAGCACAGGACAGAGGTGGGAATTTTCCGGGGTCTGGGGTGAGTGAGGTCAGCCTGGGGTGGGGGTGCTGGTCTTCGGCCCCCCACACGGCCCGTCCTGCCTGAGGCCCATCCCTCCCCGCCAGCCACCTTCCTGGGGCTGCACCACCTGGGGCGGGTGGGCGTCCCTCTCCCGTGTGCGGGGCAGAGTTTTGGCACTGGAATAAATCAAGCCATTGAAAGGACAGCAGTGCCAGCAGAGGGGTGACAGGGCCGGCCGCGGAGCAGCTCCCTGGGCTGCTCACCACAGGCACAATCACTTTCATTTTCTTGTAAAAGGGCAGAGAAGTTGCCGGGCGGCTGGTTTCGCTCTGAGTGTGTGCACTGTCTTTCCAGTAACAGCCGGGAGCCACTGTGGGCCCGGGGTCTGTGGTGGGAGCCACCGTGGGCCCGGGTCTGTGGTGGGTGCCACCCGGCCCCGCCTCACCTCCCAAGGTTGTGGTATTTGATTTTCCCTCAACACCAAATTGAAACCGTCCGGGGCGGAGGCAGGCAGCACGGAGGCCGCTGCGGTTGGCCCGGGAAGGTATTTTAGGCGCTCGCCTGCATGGTGGTGAACTTCTGTGTCGAAAGCAGAATTGCTTTTCAGTAAATGCTGTTACTCAAAAGGAAATCATTTCTACCCCATCACCCTGCGCCTCGCCCAGCCTCCACCGCCTGCCGGGCCAGGGTGGGCAAGGGATCACCCCGGTCCTCCTGGAACACTCCCTGGACCCCAGGTTACTGAGCCTGAAGACCAAATCTCCACAACCCACTGGGCAGTGCACCTTGGGAAGCCGCGCACTTAGTGTTTAAAAATCCCAAAAGCTGGGTGTGGTGGCTCACACCTAAAATCCCAGCACTCAGGAGGAGGCTGAGGCAGGAGGATCCCCATGAGCTCAAGGCCAACCTGGACGACATAGTGAGCTCAAAGCCAGCCTGAGCTACATAGCGAGACCCTGTCTGAAAAAACAAAACAAATAAATAAATATCCCAAGACCGGCTCAGCAGAATGGGCTAGAAGAAGGCAGAGCTGTCCACGTCCAGCGAGGTTGCTCCTCATGGAGAAAGGGACCCTGGGTCTCAGTCGGCCGGACCAGGGCCCGGGCCTCAGCTCCGACACCTCTATTATGTGATCTTGGTCAAGTCTGAGCATCTCTCTGGGCCTTGGCTTTCTTTGGTCCTGGGACGAGGAGGGACCTTGCAGAGCCTGCTGCTCGGGACAGGTGGGGTGTCTGGGGAGTGGGAACTCGGCCTCACGCGGCCCTGCTCTGCCTCGTCCAGACAGGTGGCGCTGGGCTGTGGCTCCCCACGAGAAGCCCAGGCCCCTGCATCAGTGTCTTCTTCCCGCCAGGTCCAGGGAGCCAGCGACACCCAGCCAGCCTCGAGACACTGCACCTCGAGAGAGGAGCCCCCGGCCCCGAGTCCCTGGAGGGGCCAGGAGAGGAGACCTTGGGCCACCGCCTGCCACGGGCTTTTCTGCAGCCCTGGAAAATCCCAACCGCGTTCACCGAGCAGTGACCACCAGCAAGCACTGTGCTCCCTGGGGGCGTGGGGGGTCATCGTGTCTCCATGGCAACCTAGAAACGGGGCCTCATAGCTGGGAAAACTGAGGCCTAAGCTGGGGGGGCCATGGGCAGCACACTGACCTGTGTACCCAGGATGTCCCCGCACAGGGCCGATTCTGTGCTCCCTGTGATGACCAGGACTCCCTCGGTGCCTTCACGCTCAGGACACGAAGCCACCCCTCGGTGGAGAGCACCGTGATGAGATGTGCTCTCCTGGGGCTGCTGGGAGTCACAGGCCACCAGCGATGCAAACAGAGACCGCTCGCCCTGCCCCAGCTGCCCCAGCTGCCTCGGAGACGAAGCCAGTGAAATTACGTGCAGCCTCTCAGCCAGGTGGCCACAGTGACACCGCGGAGACTCACAGAGTTCTATTCTCAGAGACCTCAGGGCTGCACGGTCACAGGCAAACCCATTCCCCCCGACCCTGCCCCGACCCGGGGCAGCCACTAATCTCTTCTCCATTTCTATAATTGTGTGGTTTCTAGAACGCTCTATAAATGGAATCACACCGTACGTAACCTTCGGGTTGGGCTTTCTCAGCACGAGTCCCTGAGGCTTCACTCAAACGTCCTGGGTGCCAGCCCTGCAGTCCTGCTTGTGGCTGAGCGGAGCCGATGGGTGGCTCGGATGTGCCCTGTTTCTTTCGTTATTTGCTGTATGAGGGCCTCGGGGCTATTTCCTCGGGGCTAGTTCTTGCCTTGTATGAACCAACTTTTCTGAACATTTGTGCTCAGATTTTGGGGGAGCTGTGGCTGCTGTTTGTTGCATGGGGGATGGAACCCAGACCTTTGTACTGAGCTACATCCCCAGCTCTTCTCCGTTTTTAGAGTCTCAGTCACTTAGTTGCCCAGGCTGGGCTTGACCTTACAATCCTGCCTCAGCCTCCGGCTGCTGGGATGACACATGTGTACCAGCATTTGTAGCTGGTTTTTCTAGAAACTCTACCGTTTCTGGGCCCAGGAGTGCGAACACTCCATCCCAGGGCGGGTTGCAAGCCACGCATTTTCCAGAACTCCCAACCCTTTTCCGCTCCCTGTAGGAACACAGGGACATTTCTCCCAGCTGTGGCTTTCCCCGTGGCTGAGGACGGGACAGGTTTCATGTGACATTTACCTCTGTGTGTCCTCTTCGGTGAAATGGGTCTGCCTATCATTTGCTCATTTTCTGCTTGAATTTTTTTCAGTGGCTGAGTTGAAAGCATCCTGGCACCTTCTAGACACTAACTCTTTGTCAGATATGCAGTTTGCAAATATTTTCCCCCAGTCCATAGCTTGCCTTTTCAGATTCTTAACAGGCCTTTCACAGAGCAAACATTTTTTATTGTGCGTTTGCCTGTGATGAATCAAGTTTTTAGTGTGCAGTCTAGCGGTTCCTTGCCGAGCCTGAGATCCTGAGTTGATTTTCTCCTGGTTTTTCCTAATTAGTTTATGTTCCTGCATTAACAGTTCCTTTTGAGTGACTTTTTCCTTACACAGAGATGTTTGATGCCCAGTCCTATGTATTGAAGGGCTTTCATATCTTTGTCAAAAGTCGGTGGGCACATCTGCTGAGGCTCTGTTTTGGGGTTCTTTATTCTGGTCCACTGATCTGTCTATTCTTCTGCCAATATCAGACTATCTGCATTCCTTCCTGTATGAAGCAAATCTCAATATTGTGTAGAATGAGTCCTTCCACTTACAGAAAATTGTACATTACATTGTAATTCATGGATAAGTAAGGTGACAGACTGTTCCTGAAAAGTTATTCATTTAAAACTGGGAATATAAGGGCTGGGGATTTAGCTCAGTGGCATAAGCGCCTGCCTGGCAAGTGCGAGGTTGTGAGTTCAATCCCCAGTAGCACAAAAAAAAAAAAAAAAAAAAAAAAAAAAAAAAACTAGGAATATAGCTCAGCAGCACAAGTGCCTACCTGGTAAGCACAAGGTCCTGAGTTCAATTACTGGTACTAAAAAATAAAAAATGTTACTCAGTTTAAAAAGAGACTACTGAGGTTGAGATGGTCAAGGATCCACCAAAGACTCATATTCTTCCTCCAAAGTATAGATTTGCTATAGGTAAGTAGTTGCCTGGTTGGTACTACATTTCCCAACTGCCATTGCACCAGGTAGAACCATGTGACCAGCTCTAGCCAATCAAATTGTAAGGCCCGTGCCTTGTGACTTGTCTGTCATTCTGCACTGAGATGGTAGGGCAAGGGTTCCTCCTCCTCCATCTCTCCGCTCTTGACTACTGGATGGATGTTAATGTCCAAAGTGACCTTGGAATTACATATTAAATATGACCGAGCCATTACTCGGGATGCCTGAGTGATTATGTGAAGCAGAATTCGTCCTCCCTGTGGACCATTCCAGAACAACAGCCTAAATGTGGGCATCTACAAATGAAATGTTGTTAATATTTTTAAATTTTAAAAGCCCAAATAAAAATGCAATTTGTAAAATGCCCATGCTTGTATACCTTAAAACCTTTTTGTGCCAGTGACAGACTCATGGTCAGGGAAATAAATACTTTAAATCCTCTGATCCCTGTTAATGTGCATTTTTCCTTCTACCACTGGAAAACCAGAGGCCCAGAGAGCAAACAGGGTTTGCCAAGGTCACACAGCAAACCCAGGGCTGGGCCCAAAAAATTCCACTAGTTAAATATAACTGATTTCCGCAAACTTTGATTCCTTCCCTTAAAGGACAGACAAGTTACAGCATGTGTCATCCCAGATTCCAAGTGGACAATTACAAAAACAAATCATAATTAATAATTCCTTATGAGGCAGGTCAGAGAGTTTCCAGGCAAGGTGGCGCCAGTTTTGGGAGAAGTAATTTTAAGACTTCCCACCTTTCATGGGGTTCGGGAACCAATTTAAAATAAGCTCTAATAAACATAACTCATGAAGCCATGACCTTTGGAACGAAGCTCTTACCTCTGAAACCTACTCAGCCTTTATGATGTGGGATTTGTCTGTGTGTTGAGGTTTTTGAGAAAAAAAAAAAAAGGCTCGGAGGCACTTCTGGGAAGCAGCTGCAGCCATCCTGCAGCTGAGTGGGTCCAGGGCATCAGAGCCACCTTGGAGGAGACAGGAGGGAGGGGGCCCCAGCCGCGGGGTCAGTCAGGCGTGCACATGCAGGCAACGGGCAGAGGCCAGTCCCACCACTGAAGCACTGTGAGTCCTTGACCACTGCCTTCACCACACCTTACCTCAGTTTCCCTACCGATCCACAAGGCTGTGTGAGCACAGAGCACAGTGCCTGGCACCCGGCAGGTGGGCTGGTGTTTGCCCTGGTAGCATCAGGGTAAATGAGCCTCTGGGGAGAAAGAATTGAGACCAGTAGACTCCCAAAGGCCAGACGCTGGGCACACAGACGTAACTAGTTCAGAGAGGCCACTAGAGTGGACACTGGGCTTCATGACGCCAGCATGTCCTCTCACTAGATCCACACAGCAGTGGGTCAGGGAAGTGGTGTAAAAGAGCAATTATTACCCCCAAGACCAATGCAAACGTTAGAAGTTCGTGTAAAGATCAGGGCAGCACAAGGTGAGTCAGGAGGACCAGCAGAGGCTTTCCTGCAGGGGTTCTCAAGAGCATATAGGAGTCTGCTTGACAAGGATGAGGAACTAGTAAACATCCGTAGAAGCCGCTGCTGGTGCCCCTAGATGGATGGCTCTTACCTGCCAAAGACGCCCAGAGAGCTTCAGTTTGTTTCTGGATGCAGACTAAGCTAGAAGTTCCTAAGAGCTCGGATAACACCCTCTCAAGTCTCCAAGAGTTACCCACTGGGATGGAGGCCCACTTGGCCCCAGCCATGACTAGTTTGATACATGAGTTTATTTGCTTCCTTCCCTGTCTTGGGTGCTTCCTGAGATCTCCCCTCAAATGTGCTCCTTGTACTTGGCTCCTCAGCTGGCTCTGTTTCCCAGGAGATGGCACATGCAAAGGCACTGGGGCAGGAATGCAAGCCACACATGCAGGAAAGTTACCAGCAGAGGCTGAGAAGCCAGACACACAGGCTGGGCACAGCCATGCCGAGGACTGGATTTCTTTTCCTTTGCTCAGGTCATACGGTGGGAACCAACTTCAGAGCAGACTGGAGATGGGCCAACTATCCTGACACCTAAGGCTGTTCTGGTGTTATTTGCTGCTGCCAAAATCTCCAGTCATTGCTTTAATTATCCACTTGGCCTTTGAGTTTATTTGAACAAGATCCAACTCTGACCTGGACAAAGGCAGGAGACTG